AAGCAAAGTGTCTCAGCCACTGCAGTGATGTTAACTTAATGTCTCTTCTCCGTTTTATTAGGTAGCTGTAGGGTCTTTAGTCTCTACCACTGGGTGAGTGCTTTCTCACCTTATGAGGCTAAGACAGTAGATGACATTTTTCTCTTAACAGTGAAACACTCATCTCCATGACATCCCCAGCAAATGTACAGATTTTAAAATGCTTTCTTTTTTTTTTGCACCCAGGAAATGCCATCCCAAAGGGATGTAGATCCCAAAAGTATCTTATGTCTGATTTTTATTTAGACAACCACAGACGCATATAGCTATAGAGTCTCAAAACATCATGATTTCTTTCTGCTTTGTCATGTGACTATGTCTTTAAAAATAATACAAAACAAAATATTATTGGCAGTCTGTGGCTACAGTGTTGCAATTGTTTCAGCGTTTTCAAGAGGAATGGGACTTCAGCCCTGGAGATCTAGAGATAAATGGCTAAATCCTTTCAAAATTACACTTAAGCTTCTCAATCATTTGAATCCTTTTGCAAATTTTATGACATATGTTCATAATAAAATAGAAAAGTAGATACTAAATGCTTGTAAATTGCCAGAAAATCCAACAAAATGCAAATCACAAGAAGAATGCACATTTTTTTCCAGGCTTGCACTGTGATTTGTTTTTTTTTTTTGTTCCAGAGAAAGAAGGCACTGATAAATGTATCAATGAGCTTTGAAGAGAGCTGCTGCTCAAAGACAATTCAGCAGTGTTTCCTTGGCAGTATGTCAAGAATAGGGCCTACCTTCTTGTTGCTGGTTCTGGCAAAGAAATCAGAGCTTTTCCAGTCCACAAATGGCAGAACATCAAAATGTTACAATGCTATGTTCCCAAAGATGATGAGCGGTTTCTTTCTTTAATGAAAGATAATGCGAATATACAGAATCCACATTTCAAATTTTATTGTGTAATGAGTATAACCTTGCTATTCAAAATCCTAGAGATCAGAGGGACAAGGCTTTTTTTTTTCTAACTCTGCTTCTAATTTGTTGTGTGGCCTTGAGGTAAGCTACTCCACACATCTCTGCACCTCAACTTCCCCAACAGTGGGCTGGAGACAATAAGAGCTACCCCACTAGGCTGCTGTGAGGCCAAATAGATCAGCATTTTTGAAAGGAGTGAAACTGTAATATAGAACTTGTTATGTAAGTGTGAAGTGATAAAATGCAAACTAATGAAATACGATCAGACCTGTCACTGCTCATTTTCTGTTGTACGCGCCTTGGGACAAATGAACTGTGAGCGAGACCTGAAATACTCCAACATTACATCTCAACAACCACAGTAAAATGGAAAAATACTTATTTCAGATTCTAATCTGTATTAGCACCTTCTCCATCATTTTTACATTCATTCTTACATAAGTGCACTGCAGCCTGACTCCTACCTTTCTTGGGTCTCATTCTAAAAGGCTTGTTTTGCCCACTGTCTTCCAGTTGTCCTCTCCTAAATATTTGACTCTATCACCCTTTGTATCTGCATGGTGACACCACTCCTTTAATTATACGCTTACTTTGCTCTTGGGCTCAGAATACCTCTTAAGAAGGATGATAACTGTTCACTCCCTCGCCCTGCCCCAAATTTCCTGTGTGATGTCAGGCAAAGGCATTTAGGATGTCCCGGACCACTGTCCACCCAGGGTCAAATGGGCTAACTGATGGCACCAAGATAGCACAGTAGTCACAGGGAGCTTAGATGGCTACTGTAATGACTATGCACAAAAGGACTAGATAGAGGGATGGGTGGATAAATAACCATGGCTTCAGTAGATACTCAGCTGTGCAGTTGCAGTTCTACTGGCAGTGACACCAGTCTGAATACACAGGTACCTGTTGCAGCCACCATCCACCTCAGATACTCAGCTGTGCAGTTGCAGTTCTAGTGGTAGTCTGAATGCACAGGTACCTGTTGCAGCCACCATCCACCTAATCTAGGTGGAGCTTTTTCTGCAATACTTTTGGCATTAGTCTAATTTGTCTGTATCTTTGGAGCCACTGTGTTAATCCAGTGCTGGGCTTCCCCAAGCAGTTGTCATCCTCTTGCAGACCCTCTGTGCTTCTAGACAGCTCCATCCGCCCTTTGGGAACAGCATCCATAGTGCTGAACACCAGCAGAAGATGTATCTGGGAGAGCAAAACCAGATTTCCATCAGGAAGGAAACAGGCTGCAGTTCTGGTGAAAGTTGTGAGAGCTGCCACATACAGGTTGCATGCGCACTGAACGGCGATGATTTTGGCCAAACACACAGCAAAAAGTTACAGCCTCTGCAAACACTAGGGATTTACAACCACTTGCCTAAAGGCATACTGCTACATGGAAGACGATTCCAAAGGGGTCAAGCAGCAAGCTAGCAAAGACAAGAAGGACGACTGAAAAGGTTATATGAAGTGGCTTGAGGGTGGTATGGTACACCGAAGGCCAGGAGAACGTCCCACTAAAGAACTGCTACCTCCTGAAAGCTCCCTAGGTTCCCAGTGGTGTGAGGACACTGCAGGAGACTGCTCGGATGATCAGAGAGGATTGTGGCAAAACCACACAGGGTCCTGACAAAGACTCTAAGACTCCTCTAAGCTGGGGGGAGGGCCGAGGGGGTAGTAGACAGGAGATGGATGAGATCAGTTTTTTCCTCAGCTAATAATCCAGTACATTCAACCTTAATGCAGCCCTAGCAATGCCCTCACTTGACAATGAAGATCATTTTGTTCTTCTGCTGCTTCCACGTAGCATTTATAGCATTTATTAGCGATCTTTTAATTCCCAAAGAACAATACGACATCCACATGTTATTGGCCAGAGAAATAAGGGAGAATGCAACTAATCTAGGTGGAGCTTTTTCTGCAATACTTTTGGCATTAGTCTAATTTGTCTGTATCTTTGGAGCCACTGTGTTAATCCAGTGCTGGGCTTCCCCAAGCAGTTGTCATCCTCTTGCAGACCCTCTGTGCTTCTAGACAGCTCCATCCGCCCTTTGGGAACAGCATCCATAGTGCTGAACACCAGCAGAAGATGTATCTGGGAGAGCAAAACCAGATTTCCATCACACAGAATAAAGGTGACAGCCTTTGAGCAGAGGCTAACACTTCCCACGTGGACCAGGCAAACCACTTTCAGCAAATGCACCCGCCTGCTGTTCCTCTCAGCGATGGCACTGACGCAAATACACGACGCAGCATGGCGGGCACAAGCATCACCGATGCAACATTTTCCTAGGGAAGGGGTGAAAGGGGGAGCAGGAGAGGCCTGCTCAGGCATACGCCAGAGGGATTTTCTACTTGAGCCAGCAGACAATGCCACAGCCTAGACAGCAAAACAAGTCTGAAGCTGAAATTCAAATCATTTCAGATGATAGTGTAAGCTTTCAGCTGGCCTCTGCCCATCTGCCTGGAGTCACAGCACCCTTCTGCCATACAGGGGGAGCTTGTGTTGGTCATGATGGTGGATACGAGTGCAGAATCTGCTGCTATGGGAAGGCTCCGTGTTTACACAGCACAGGACGAATTACTGCCTCCCCCTCAGCACTAGCCACAAAACCTCACACTGTGGCTTCACCCTGTACGGAGTGGGGAGGAGAAGACCCTACCAGGCCTAGCAAGTTTTATTCCTGTGAGTTTCAGTGTCATAATTCTTGACTTCAGTGCTCCAAGCAACTCCCTCGCTCGGTGCACGGCAGGGTGAGTGAGAGCTGATGGTCGCCTCTCCGCAGCACTGGCAAGGCCCATTTCTGCCGAGCAGCACCTGCACAAACTGCAGGTGAGGAGGAGGAGGGAGGAGGTGAAAAAAGCAGCATGTCTCTTGCTGCTTCCCCAGATGACAGCAGGCATCCCTTTCCTCCTCATGCGCTGCTGGCGCCTGACGCGGAGTTATGGCGCTGAGCAAATGGCACACGCTGCTCTCGCCAGCTCCCAGCAGGACTCCATCCCTCTCAGCACACAAATACCCGCCAAGAAAAAGCAGCGTGGATCTGCCACTACGGCAGACTTTCTATTGAAGGAGTCCCAGATTTCCTTGTGTCTGCTTTTCCTATCTTTAGAGGGCCCTGAGGCACAGAGGGGGGCCCCCCCAGGGCCACCCCCACATCCTCTGCCCACAGCTGGGGGTCCCACCTCAGCCTGAGGTGTCACAAGACAGCGAGGGCTAGTGACTCCCTGAGGGATATGGCCGGGAAGGCACCATGGCACCCACCTCACTGCACCCAATAGGGGGAGTGGGGTAGGCCCAGGGATGGTGGCCAGGCCCAGGGATCATAGGGGGAGTGGGGTAGGCCAAGGGATGGTGGCCAGGCCCAGGGATGGTGGCCAGGCCCAGGCCCAGGGATGATGCCCAGGCCCAGGCCCAGGGATGGGGGCCAGGCCCAGGGATGGAGGCCAGGCCCAGGCACCAGGCCCTGACCATAAAGCTCATCATGGTGATGAGGCAGGTCAAGATGGGAATCCCATCTGCAGGCCAGGGCCAGTGATGGCAGGGTTGTGGGGATGGGCCTGGCTCAGTGGGGCTCATGGCTGGGGCAGAGCAGGGCTGTGGGGAGGTGGAGATCAGCCCTGCTGTGGCATCGTTGTGGCAGGGGCTGAGGGCCCTAGGCAGGGCTGAAATGGGATCCTGGGCCATGTGCAGGGTGGCAGGGACAGTCAGGGCTGGTGGTGACCTCGGGGCCCTCAGCTGGCTAGGGCTGTTCAGGGCCTTAAAATGACAGAGAATGCCTCAGTGCACCCAATACGCTTCTTAAGACATTCTCATGTCCCCCAAGTCTAATTAAAGTTCTCATTGGTGGTCTGACAGGACACAGCCAGGGGTGTGTGTGTGACAACAGAACTGAAAAAAGGAGAGAACTGACTTGTCCTGGTAGACAGAACAGAGGAAATCTCAGGTTCTGGGAAAAAGTAGCAGAGAAGAGTTCTGGCAACGCTGTCCATTTATTTACAAACCCATGGGAAGAAATGCTAGTCACCCATTTTGGACCAAGCCTGTGATTTTCAAATGCATCTTTATTGATCGGTTGATTTAGCTCAAGTAGTATGAACTTTATTTTACAAGAACCTGCAGCTAACCAACACAAAGAAGAATTACCATCGTTACCTCGTACAATACCGGACTAGCGCAAAAACAGAAGTAAATGCCACAATCCAGTTAAAAGAACCATAAAATAACTAAATTAAACTGTAAACTCTACATGTAACAAACGGCTGAGATTAGTCCCACACATGTCACTTATAAACCCAGCAGCGGGAGGGGAGGGGAGGTCTGAATGCAAAACCAAGCACCCCAGATGCCACCTTCTTCTCCCCCGAGTGTGCCTAAGCACAGGCTCACTCAAGACAACACACAACCAGGTGCTTGGCAGCACGCGCATGAGCAGCAGAGAGACGCACACCATCTTCCCGCATCTTGTCTTTTACCCTAGAGAGCCTCCTGGGTCTGTTCTCTGCTTCAGAACACCCAGAGCTTCCTAAAACAAGAGACTGACGGGGATTTGCACCCAAAGGATGTGAGAAGAGCCTGGTAGTTGGAGGAGTGGGCCAAAAAGAGAGGACTGAGTACTGCAGGCAGAAAATGCAATTATCTAAGTTGGCATTAGGTACAAATCATCCAAACGCATTAATTTCAGATGAGCACATGATGGAACAGCAAACCTGAAGTTCAGGATGAAAAAAGAGTAATGCTAACCCACTCATTTCATCTTTTGTTCCCCTGCTTTCTGTCTGCCCGTTAAGACTCCTCTGTCGACATCTCTTGCACAGCTTCACTTCTCTCCCATTCATCTGCTACTTCCCATACCACACGGGCAGTGACCTCCTGCCCCACTACACTGCCTCCTTGATCTTCACACCGTTCTGCCAGTGACTCCCACTTAACACTCCCAGCCTGCACTTCTGCTTCGTGTACCTCTGCAGCACAACAGTGAAGGCTGAAAGCTGATTTCCTGTCTCCCACAATCAGAGGAGCACTCGTCTTGATTGCTCATTCCTGAGGAACGCTGAGAACTGGGATCTAACTTCATGTAAATAGCGCAAACACCTTCAACTTATTTTGGAATCTGCCCGTCTTCTTCATCCTTCTTGTCTCCTCCTCCCTCGTGGTCCCTCCCTTAAATGTAGGAATGTTGATAGTAATTCAGGTCAAGCTCTCTGATTTTAAGATAAAACCTCAGAATTTTCCTGAAAGTCAGCTCACCCCCCAAAACCCCATCCCATCATCAGAGTTATGGCAGTTATGGGAAAATCTGCTGTTTGTGCCACTGGGAAGAAACTGCTTTGGCATGACAGCATAAGGCTTGCACAGGACAGCATCTATCTGGCACCTCTCTAAGAACAACACTGGCTTGAAATAAAATAATTTAAAAAGAAAAATCTGCAGAGAATCTATTCCCCTTCCCCTTGAAGTCTAAAAGCACCTCTCTTGCGGCAAAGAGTGGCACTGTTGTCCAATCACAAAAAAGCCAGCAAAACATTTCTTCCGCTTGTGCATGTGGTGCAAGAGCTGTTACAGGGAAGAGACATGGAAGGGAAGGCTAAACCCACAGGACTTCTGCCATCTTCTAATCTGCAGAAGACTGGTACAAGGACAACACCGATAGATAATTTTCTGTGTTCACCAATAACAAGACCATTAGTAATTAGTTGGTTTAATGCACAGCAAGGGAGACTGAAGTTAGGTAGCAAGAAAAGCTCTCTCGCTTGTAGGCTAGCTAGGAACTGGAATAGACTATTTTAGCAGTCTCCAGGATCAAGCTCAGGGAAGTTTGCTAAGGACAAGTTACATGAGCAGCCATGGTGGACATGTTTGGTATACTCAGTCCTGTCTCAGAGCTGGAGTGGGCTAGTCGTTCTCTTGAGGTCCTTTCTAGCCCTATGCTTATGAGTTTATCAGTTGACTTCACTGAAAAGAACAAAAGGGTCATCTCAAATTTTTCTGTCCAGCACTTGCAACTAAAGCAACAAAGGAAAAAAAAAACAACAAATTCCTTCCTTCTCTTCCCCCAACCTTCATGTCTCACAGCTGAGGAGTTCCCAGCCCTCAGAGTTAGCCCTTCTAATACTGATGGAAGTGACGGGAAACGCAATACTCTTGGAACGCTTCACAGGCAGCAGCCAGAGTGAGGACTGTCAGCACAGGACAGCCTTGTGTGGGCAGGGTGATGTATTTCACAGCTCACTGAATGCTCACAGGAGTGCAGCCCGTGCCATGGGCAAGGCGTGACAAGGTCAGTGTACAATACATGGCATGCCTTCTTCATCCGATGGAAGGGTTACACAAAAATGGCCGTCCTGCCCAGTCACTCTCCTGGAGCTCAACCACACTGGCTTGTCCAGCAGCCACCAGTACAGGCTAACTACTTCCAGCTGTGGCAAGAGAAGAACTACAAACAGTGAAGCCTCCCCATCCCTCAGCACAGAACTCCTCATTAGCCTCTCAGTTCACCTTTTCATACACCGTCCCCTTACCCTCCCTCCCCTCAATTTAAAAAATAACGGTTATAATTAATGCATGGAAGGTGATGGCATTGTGCATGTGGTTCACTTCCAGTTCTCTTCCCCTCTTCTCAGGCATCCTCCTTCCTCCTCTCCAACATATTCCCCCCACCCCCCCCCAAAATCCAGTCCATCAGTCCATCTCGCCTGCATGCCTGGGGGGCTGGTGCTCACTTGCCATAGACGCTTTCATCGCTGTAGGCCACATAGAGAAAATAGTCCTCCTCGTGGTTATCCTGCAAGGGGAGAAAGGCAGAAAGTAACAAACTGAAGCCCTGTAACTCACTCCATGTGAGAAAGCCCAACCAAGAGATCGTTGTAACAACCAGAGGGCATAACATCTCTCTCACTGTTTCTCCCCCTTCGCACTGAAGGCTCCACTTCCCCATACCAAAGAGAGCATATGGCAACTCCTTCTCTCTGGCCACAGCTCTACCTCCAAATTCAGGCTTCGTCACACTTCTGGACACAGTGAATTTACTTAAAAAGCCCCAGCCAGAGTGTGCTGCAAACGTGCAACAGAAACAGCTCTGCCTGTTGCAGGCTGTGCAGCAGAATCTCAGCGGCCTTAAGATAGAGAGGAGACTTGGAAAGCATTAACAGGTCAAAAATCACCTCTAGATACCTCAGTATTTGATAAAAGTGGTTGTATTTGTTGTTTTTCAGAACACTTTGACAAGTGGCTGGCTGTATTTCTAGTCCTGTTTCACATATGGGCAGTAAAGCTGAGACGTTAAGTGATTCCACTGACATAAAAAGTCTGCAAAGCACCAGGAAGAGACTCCCGATCTCAGCTTTGGAGAGTTGGACATACCTTCCTCCTACATCTCCAGATTTGGAAAACTCACTGTGCGTGTTAATCTCTTATTATTTTCATCAGTCCACGTACATATTGTCAAAAAGTCAAATAAGGCTCACAGCACCATACCGGAGCTCTCCTATTAAAACACACTTACACAGCAGAAGGAGAAATCAAGGAGAAATCAATCCAGGCTGCAAACCAGCCGTGATATAACGGCTACATAATTGAGGAACATTCCTCTGATGGGCATAGAATATGCCTTTAAGGTCGATCAATTAACACTGTTCAGCAGAGATGTGGGCTGGCAATGTTCGCAGTGTCCTACAAGATCCTCACATATACAGCACAAGCGATGAAAAAGTAATTCTGAACAAAGAATACGTCTTCCTTGACAATGTATTTATAGACTGTTGGCCGCCCAGCGATACTGTGTTCTTTTATGGGCTAAAAGGAAATCTCTTTTGTATAAACAGGAAAGCTAATGTGTATGTTCCACCTCCCCCACCCCCACCCCTGACACAATCTTTCCTCTGAAATATAAACAATAAAGTGGTTTATTTCAATACTTTGCTATAAGTAGTAGGATAAACATATCACTGGTGGGGGCAACAATTCACCACGGGGTATGACAAGCCTTTCAACTATCACACAATCAATTAAAATGATGAGAGTCCCCGGGTTCCTCTTTATAACTGGAGGACGGAACTTCCCTAAACAGACGATAAGATACAGCCCAGGTCAAGGGGGTCTGTGTTCAGGCATCTGTGACCAAGCTGCACCCACTGCCAGCTGAGTAGTGCTCAGCTGTCCTTCTGTCAGGACATACATTCTTCTGGACACTCCAACAAAAGGAGAAAGAGATGGGCCAGGCTTACCTCATACAGCTGGCCCATGGTAGCACTGGTGGGAGGGATGGTATTATTGACAAAGAAGAACAGGGCATCCTCTGGCCTCAGGTGGATCCGCTTTCGGATTAAGAAGTAGAATTGGCCAACTGAAGAGGAACAGAGAAGAATGCCTTAGATGCAGAAAGAACCATTTTGGGGTTTCGATTGTTTTTTTAACCCTAACCATGGTTGTTGTCTTTTGGTGGTGGAAGTCACATGCTGTACGTAAAAAGTAGGGAAACATGAACAATGTGGGAAAGCAAGCAGTAACTTCAAGACTGCTCATAACCAGCCAATCTACTCGGAGATGGCAGTTTCTCAAGCTGTGTACCCTCTAAATCCACACTCTACCTACAATGGTATGAAATGCTCTACTGCTGGGATTGGTGAGAAGACCTCTAACTATCTTAACCTTTAAGTCCTATAAAGTAACCTTAGAGAGTTTAGCCTCAGTGTAAATGGTCATACCATTCCTGAAAACAAAGCCCTGAAAATAAATTCCTTACTATCTGCTTGAGCTATGTTGCACAAGCAGGTATTCCACAATCCATTATACACAGCGAGGGAAAGAAATGCTGTTTCTTTAACTCATTCATGATCTCAAATGAAAACAAATGTAATCACACGCAACATGGCCATGACCACTCAGAAAAGGAACTTTGCAGCCATGACTCCAACCACAGAGGTGGAAAACAATGGCACTATTTCAAGAACTCGTCTCTTCCTGCAACAAGGATAAAGCCTCTGGCAACTCTGCAGCTAGGTCATCATTGACTGATGATGATGATGCTACTGCCTATGATACACAATTCAGTCATTTTCATCATGGCTAGCTGTCAGCAGTGACACACGCACGTTGGTTAACTCAGTGAGACGTCTCAGAAGATCTCCGAGAATTCTGTATTTGGTAATCCAGGCTGTAAGGTACAGAAATAATAACAAGGACAGTCAGGTCAACTGCAGGTGAGCCTGCCTCGGTATTTTGTTGGTGCTGATCATAGAGTAAAAAGCACTTCTGAGATCTTCTCAGTGAAAATCGGGAAGAAAGGAATCAGACTTTGTTACCTGTGAGGTCAGAAGGCACGAGATACTTCCTTTTGTCTAGGTCGGGTACTCTGGCTTTTGGTGCTTTTTCCACAATTACCTGGAGAGAGAGAGAGATAGAAAGCAAGAAACAACCCATGAGTATCATAAAATGAAACGGACCAAAAAGCATCAGGATATTACCCTCTGAGAGAGACGGTGCTACAAGCCTTTTGAAATCTATTTAATCTATATAGCAAACCCACAATATAAAGAACAAATAGGTGAGAAGATGACTTGCAATCACTGGCAATAGCTGTGCTGGGAGCCCAAGACCACAGCAATAAGCACAGTGAGTAAAAAATGGAGACTGGAACAGACATAAAAATAAACCATAATAGCCGAGTAAAAAAAAAATAAAATCAGGTCACCTTGATGGTCCCAATGCAGGTTAATTTTGTATGAAGGAGCTGCCGGGAGGCTAATGCATGAACACAAGTATCACAGGTTGAACTGTTTCCAGGTTACAGTTCCAAACTGCCTGGCATAAAATCAGCCCTAGTCCCAGTAGTCCCACATCCTAATTTCTACACTTGCCGACACCAAGTGCTCCAGAATGAAGCAAAGAATTAAAAAGAAACTGTAGCTCCTTGGGGTAAGTATTTTTAATCCCCTGTTCTTTGGCTGTTATCGTCTACTCTTAAATTCATAACGTTTAGGGTTATTTTCCCTACTTCATATAGTTATTGACATTTCCTTATCCATATAAGTATCTAATAATTAAAAACCAGGCTACCATCTGGGCAAATGGACCCACAGAGACCTTTGACACAACATACTAATCCTCCTTATATTCTAATGTCATTACAACATAGAAAAACATGAAGCTCAGCAGCTCAAAGTTCAAACAGACAAAAAGGTCTTCTGCTAC